CGTTAAAATTTCGTCGGAACGAAGTTACGGAAAAATCAATTAACAAACGGAGACGTAACAAGATGATAGGCCACTATAAGTCATGAATTATAAGTAAAAGTCCTCCTCTGAAGTGACATTTGAGTTTTCTTAGTAAGAAAACCCTTCTGGGTTCGTTGTATCTAGTTTAAATGTAAGATGTCTAAAAGCTAGATTTTAAGGATATGCATATAAACTGTCCCATTCAGTAAATTGTTCAGAAGAGGGTAGGCTAAAATGAAGATGAAAAATGGCTAGAAACAAGTAGCTCAGATAGTAGAAATCTGAGCATATATAACCAGGATGGTTCAAGTTTATGGACCGTAGAATTTGTTGTATTTACACAAACAGTATATTTTATTTTACCCTGGAGATTAAATTATCATACGAAGAATTATATTTTCCTTATTAAACTTTGGAGTAGATTAGCAAAATTAGCAACAGCTACACAACCATACCATCAGAAATAATAAATACTCATCAGGAATAGTAGTCAAAAGCCAGTGTTGGCTGTTATATAGATTTACAAATTATTTATTTATGATATGTCAATCTTTTGAATATTAGGGACGGCCAGGACAGATAAAACTCGAGTACCATTTTGGCTTTTACAGGGCCTTGTAATTAGGGCGCTCGACTCACAACATGCATGTTCGAATCCGATCACTGAACATGCTCGCCTTTTCAGCCATGGGAGGCGTTATCATATCTCGATCAATTCCACTATTCGTCGGTGAAGAGTAGCCTAAAATTTTGCGTTGGGTGATGTTGACTAGCTACATTAGGAACGGTTAGCTTTGTGCGAAATTTTACGAACAATGTTGGTTTTATTAAAATACTTTAAGAGTATATTCATCACCTACGGGAAATAAAGATGTCTTTGCCAAGGTATCGCTAACTAGAAACAAGAAGTTTTAAAGTTTAAAATAATCTAATTTACTGAAAAATATCGACATATTTGAAGATATGAATCTTTAACAGTTCAAAGTTCAATTATTATAGTCCGATCCTACTAAATACCGTTCAGAATCGTCGGGAATAAAAAAAAAATCGAAAATCCGTTGATCCAACAGTCTTTATTATTATTATTATTATATAAAAACTATATATTTTAAATTTTTCATACGTTATAGCGTCTTTAGTAATCGGAAAATCTCTCAGGCTTATACCCGATCGGTTGTGTAACCTAGGGATCTCATCAAAGTTATGGAAGGCTCCCGTAGTTGGGCTAATACATAAGTGTAAAAGAGTCAATAAGTAAAGGAAATCATTAAGGTGAAGAAATCTTTATTTTAAACAAAAGTTCAATAATTATACATGTACTCACTTCACATCTTTAACGTTAAACGCAGTTAGATCCCTTGATCTTTACACTTTATACTTACAGTCAATCGCTTGCGCCGTCTTTGATCTGCTGAAGTTTTGTATCCCTACATTATATGCTAATTATTTCGATGTTTTTCAATAAATTAGATCGTTTTAAAGTTACTACTCTCCTATGTCGCTAACATTTTATTAAAATGATGGTTTTTACGCTTCTTATTGGTAATTTGAAATAAAACTTTGAATAAATAAACACTTAAATTTAAAACAGTTTTTTCTGGACATTCTTAGGTTGCTTAGTTTACTTGTAAAATGAGGTCTATACTGAAATATTTTGGTGGGGGTAGCCCCCTCTCTATCTGGATCTGCCACTGCTTTAACATGTAAATTGAGGTTGATAAGCAGACTAATTACACTAACTTGTATAAGTTGTTCTTACTACGTTGCTGTTGTTAATCAAATGTTTTGATATTTACATATAATTTCATAAATACATTTAAGTCCTGTTACAGTTAAAATTACTGAATTTGAAAGAGTGTCACATAATATAGGCTACGAAATTATGGTCTTAAGATTATATTTCTGATACACATTTACACAGTATTGTAGTTCTGTTAATTTTTCAAGTATGTTTCCAACTATAGTTTTAGGCAAAAATTGAAAAATTCAATTATCACATGAGTTTTGAGTTTGTTCATTGAACACCAAACCCACTGAAACATATGTTAATTGAAATTACACATTTGCTGAATATAATATTTATGTAAAGATTGATGAAATGCTGTTTATTGAACTAACATATAAACTTTAAGGACAACAAGGGATTTACTGGTCCATTGAGGCTGTTTATTGAGTTCTCCATACATCTATATATGCATATTCTTTAGTGTGGGGTATGTGATCATTTAATTATGAAACAATTTGAAACCATGATATGTATATTTATTAATCCAATATATTTCCAATATAATCCAAAATTGTTTTTTTATGGGTTATTTGCAGAGATGCATGGTCTATTTGGGCAAATAATATTAGATAAAGCTTAACCCAAATGTTGATAAAATTTACAATAGAAACAATTTATTCATAAATTTTGTGTTTGTATTTATTGTAAGAGGTATTGCATAGTTTTAAGTAGTGTTAATGTAATAATATTGTATAATATTGGAAACCAAACTATTTCACACAAGTAAAAAAAAAACAACAAAATGACTCAATTGTAAGTAGTATCAATACTCAATATTTATTTTTTTCAAACCATATTGTTTTGTTTCTTGACATTAGAATCTAATATATTTACACATAGCAATGTGTGTTCAAGTACATTATACAAAATATCCTGAGAGGTATTGAGATACTTTAAATATAAGCATAAATAAAAGGTCATAATTTTTATTGGTTTTAAATAATCCATTTAAAATCCAAAACAATGTAAATATCACATTTTCTAAAACTTGATTTCCGTCTTTCAAGGAATTCTAAATTAATCTTCTACTAAATTAACAGATAAATTAAACTTGTAAGATGATGTACAATATGTTATTTTCATGGATTTTTATTTACTTATTTAACTATTGAATTTTGTTATTTTTATATTTCTTACAGAAGATAAAAATGAAATAAATGCAATGGACCTAGCTTCTGATGGAAGCATATTAGCTACTGGAGGAAAGGACCTCAGCATCAGGCTATATGACACAAATACTACAGAAGTAGGTGTTAAACTTATTAAATGCATTTCCCCGTACATGTATACTACATATAAAAGGTAAGTTGTAGGAAAGATTTGAATAAATAAACAAGGCAATGTTATTAAACTTTCAACAGCAGAACTTACATGAAACTCCATCAGAATACATACACAAGTCATTTAAAAAATAATAATTTCAAACAAAAAAAATACACAGATTCTGTCTAGTTAAATGAAAAAGATGTTAAGACCATGTTGTATAAATATGTGTATTATCAGGCATATTTTAAAACTTATTCTTCAACATACTGTGATGCACTTAAATCTTCTTAACCACTAAGAATCATTGATGACCAAAACAACCATTGACCAGAGGATTTAGGTTTAAGTAATATATTTACAATTTCAGTCCAGGATAATGCCAGCAGAACAAATACAATAGAAGCAGAATAATTCTTTAAGAGATTAATAGAATTAATACATAAATTCAATGTTCAACTTTTTCACTTAATTCATTTTCATTATAACTTCAATAACAGAACTGTTCTCATCATTAAATTCATTTTTATAACTCATCATGATATAAATTTTTACAAATTACTGTATACAGTAATTTCAACTTGAACAATTTCACTCTACTTTAATTCTTACCATTAGGCCTAAATGAAACTCATTTTTTGACAGTTTATTCACTTCACTACAAAATTATTATTCTAAACAATTTTAGAAATAATACATTCCAATTTTTTAATGGCATAATAAGCTTTTATACAGTTCATTAGGTTCTTTACAATTAAGAATCATTTGGGCCTTGTATTCAAGTTATATACAGTTCATTGGTCTATATCATACAAATTTACTAATAAGATTGTGCATCTAAAAATTCTGTAATTCTCAAACCTTTTACAGTTATCACATACAAAACAACAATGATACCAATTCTAAGAGTAATAGCATGATACCATTTATAAAACTCCACATAAGTTCAGGTGTTGAAAAACAAACACATCGATAGTTTGGCTAATCATGTCACACAAAATCCATGGACACATGAGGTCAAAAGCTTCTTTTGGTCCTGCCTTTGGAAGTCTGTCTAGGCAAGGAAATGAAAACACCTGGCTATTGACACTATTATAATTATGCACTCTCAGGCAGGGGTATAAAAAGTACTATAATATGTTACTTAAGTTCAAGTACTTTGTCAAAAAGTTACTCAAGTACAGGTAGAAGTATCCATCCTGAACTTTACTTAAGTCAGAGTAAAAAAGTATCCATAGTGAATAAGTGCTCAAGTAACAAAAGTAAAAACTACACTCACCTGCAGTTCTCTCAAACCCAACATTTATGTTGCAGTCCATGAGGTCTAGAAACACAACCCTTTATGGAAAAGATTTAACAAACTACGTAAATTACCAGTGATGTAAGATTTGTCATTCTTTTACTTATCTAAAACACATTTGTTGTATATAATTGATTACTATGATATTCACAACTATACTTAGGGTTTCAGCCAACTCATGCAGGCAACTGTGCATGAACTGTTACAACAGTAGTGCCAATAATGAATGATGTACAAATCTTATTGTTTTAGAATAAAGTATATAAGGAATTAATAAAACAAATACATGAATTCAACAACTATATTATGCACAAAATTCATTTTTCAATTTGAGAAGCAACTGGTTTTCAAAGTAACCACAGTCCAGCCTTGCATGCAGAGGACTAAAAATCTGCCCAGCACAAGTGAAGAGATGCTCACAGGCAGCAGAGGCAGGTAGTGGTGTGTTCAGACATATGGCTATATCAGATAGACTGAGGAAAGACTTGAAAATCTCCATGCTCTTAACAGATCATGCCAGGTATGTCTCTAGGTCCCTCTTCCCAAAGCTATGCCATGGCTTCAGAGTTCCCACGCACACCTCGTGTTTTTAGAATAGTAACGAAATGTATAAAATGAAAAGAAGTGGAGTAAAAGTATTTGAAAATATAACATATAAATACTTTTTAAAATTATATACTGAAAAACGTTACTCAAGTACTTTACTCATGTAAAGTTACTTCGTTACCTTAACACCCCTAGCACTCCACCACTTAACAAAGTCAAACTGACCAGTGATGCCTCATCCCAGCTGCTTGACCTTACTTTGCCAGAACTGGTAAGGTCTCTTTGAGAGTCATTTATAGCTCATTATTTAAGTTTTAATAAGTATTTTTTTTGTTAAAAATTCAAAGTTTCACAACTTAAGATTAAAACATCATTCTGCACCTAGAGCTGGGTGATTATTGATATTTGCTAATCAACTGATCAACAGGCTCATTAATTAATTATTACTCAAACCATAGCACAAACAAACAAAACAAAAAAAGAGTTGACAATTGGTGCTGCCAGCCTTTTTTTTAGTCAAAAATAAGAAAAATTTAGCAACACATGTTACTAGCCATTTGCCTTCCCTCTTAGTAGTTTTGCAATAACAAATGCAGAACAAGCAAGTTTGGGGCAACAGAAATTGAACCCAAGACCTTCAAATCATGACACCTCACTGAATCACCAAAACTGAACAAATTTGATGTAAAAGTAACAAAACTTATAAGGCTGAAATTAAACAGAGCACAGATAGCTCATTATGTAGCTTTTTGCTTAACAACAAACAAGCATGATAACAATATTTCAATTACTAAGATAGTTCAAATAATCAAAAATAGTGATAATCAGAAATCATAATTTCAGTTATTTAATTATGTTCATGATAGTTGATTTAATCATTATTTAAGTTTATTGATTTAATCATTATTTTGATTGATTGATTAATTTGCATGACACTTGGACACGGCAACAATATAATGGCCGTAAACACCATGATAAACCAGTATCTCACTTCTCCATGCACTGTACACGACTTTAATGACAATGTCAAGATGATAGTCTCCTAGGTCATGACAGTATATAAACCCATCTGTGATAATAACAACAATTCATTTTTCTTACTTCAGTGCATTAATGCATAATTTAATTTGTCCAAAGTTCAACTCATCAGACATAATGCCATATAGAATACTTAGAGATAATAATATTTGTAACCCTAAAATCACGAATCAAAAGAAAATCCACTGAACCAATTTCTCACATACAATTTTGCATAAGTTTAGAATTTCATCTCTTGCTTTAAAAAATGCAATGAAACTTCCAAAATGTAATTTTGGTATTGATAAAAAGTCTTCCCAAAGCAAGGTTACTTTTGTTTGTGGCCTTGATATGCACTGTAATAATGGTTTTCAACATGTTTATGCCATTTAGGTCACTCAGTGCAGTTAAAGTAGAAATAACAATAAATGTTCTTTAATTATAAGTTCTTGTGACCTTTGTTGATTGAGGCCTGTTCAGTCATATTTAAGTCTGTCAGTCATTGAATAATCTACGATAATTGAAATGGTTACAATGTGAAGAACCAAATATCTTATTCGCACTATTCCTTATGCTTCACAATTTTCATGTCCTCATTTGATTGGATTCTAATTTTGGATAACCTCTCTTTTTGTTCACTAACTTCAACAGGAACCTCATTGTGACTGTATTGATAAGTTTCAAAATGTTTACATTTTCTGTAAACATTACTTTTCTAACCATATACTTGCAACTGAGACTAAGGTAAAATGACATTTGGACATTATTGTAGCGTATATTTAATAGTTTAGCACTGCAGGTCTTCTATAAGTAAATTACTCTGAAAAATATAATAGACTTTTACCTAAATTTTGACACAAATGGGAGGGCGGAAGGATTCAAATGAAGAATTCTTGAAAGAGGTAAGCCTGTGAGCACTAAAGTTGGTTATTGTTTTGAAGTTCTAGAGCTATATCATTGTTGACTGGAAATGTTAGTGCTTTGTATCATTTGCCAGATGTTATGATTGTGATGATCAAAACAGCCACTAACATCTGTAAAATCAACTCCTAACTTTAGGATTTTAAGAAATAAAAAAAATGTTGTATACTGATTGATTGAAAGATGCCAAAGGAGTTAGGTAAACAAAACATAAAGCATAAAACAACAGTTTTTCCAGTATTGTATATTTCAGAATCACTGCGTAAATGAGCATAGCTATCTGGCGCTTAGTACACAAGGCAGTACCTTTTTTTAATTCTGTTTACAAGGATTTTTTGGCAGAGGAAGTACATAGTGGTTTTACATTTGCTTTTATGTAAGAGTTAGAACATATAGTTTAATATGGCTTTGTAGCTCCAAGTTAGTGATTCATAGTTTTTGTGTGTTTTTTTTTGGCAAGTTAAACAGCCAACCTTAAATAAGGACTAGTTCCCTGATTCTACTCAATGTATCAGTCATTAGAATATTTTTTTTATATGTAATTTAAAATATAAGATGTATGTGCACAACTGAAGAGTGCTGTTAACAAAAAGATGGCTACAGATGGATTTTCAAAGTGTAATTCACAGGTTTTGTTGTGTTTTTTCCATTTTTTGTTATCATAAGATGCTCTGTGTTTGAATAAATGTGATTCCATTGGATGCTACACTATATTTTACATGTAATTGCTTCCAAGAAAGATAAGACACATTGTTATTCTGAAGTGAAGGGTTTCAGGATATCACTGATATACCATAATGGAAGATATTAGGCATATTTCTTGACACTTTTCTGTTATACCCCCGCAAATGGTAAGTTTTTACTATGTGAATACAGTACTTATTAATATATTTTTGAAATTTATTATCGACATTTATTATATGAATAAAATGCATATTTATATAAGTTATTAAAATTGTGAGGGTATAATGGAAAAGTACCTATTTCTTTTGTTTATTGTTAGTAATATAATTGGTTATTGCATCTTTAACTGTATATGCACAAAGTCAGTCCAATGGACCAACCCTGTATTGAAGAAGTAATGTTGACTGCAATTACAAAGTTACGAAGTGTATGTTCATGAAATGTGACAAGCCAAGCTTTAAATAAACAGTACACATCTCTTATACACAAAAAATCTGATGTGTTAATAAGGTTTTTGTAACAAAGATATGTCTGTGAAATGACAAAGTCAGCCTGACTCTGACTAGTCAGAGTGCAATGTGACGTTTATGTGAGGAATAAAAATAATTTTATTCATTATACAGGTTGCAATCTCTACAACCTCCTAAATGCATATCCAAAGTTTTTTTTTCAGTATTCCTGAATATTGTATCTGGTATTATCACTACTTTAACTCTCTGACCTCCCACCCATGCACATAGATTCAAAGGGATAAAAGAAACATCAGTTTCTGATATGGTACAGTACCATAGCTCACATATATAGCTACTAGCTGGAGTACCCCTCCCCTGGACAGAAGTTAGGTAAATTCATGATTAATGAAAGGTTATCTTAGGACATGAAAAGTTGCTTCCCTTATATGTAATTGTAAAAAACACAAAAATGCTCATAAAAACTGCAAAACACAAAATATGAAACTGCAACTTTGCATGTGTCATCGCATGGACCAAACAAACTTACATGCCAAATATAGTGAAGATCCATCCACAGTAGGTGAGGTAGTGGTACAAAATATCCATGAAACTGAAAAACTGAAAATTTGTATGTACCCCGACATGTAATTAATGAACCTCCATACCAATTTTGGTGAAGATCCATCCACACCCTGTGAAGTAGTTACATGGACAGACAACAAGCAGTATTATTAAGTATTATATTTATATAGATTCTTGTTCAGTGCTGCCCTTTATGTGTACTCCCATGTATCCCAATGTTCTAGTGCAAACGTTTTTTTGATTATGCTCTCTTCAAGCGTTATTTTCTTTAATATGTCATACAAAGTGGATACATTTATTACTGCAGTTTATTTCTGTAGTTTTATGTGATAACTTACTTTTGTTGTTCTTATTTTTTTTTCAAATTCTTCATCATTACGTGATGAATTCCAAAGTTCATGTTACCACTTTGAAGGTTTTACCACCTACTTCCAGCACAGTTACACAGACTTCAGGTCAGGAGAACTCAACTGAGGAATTTTTTGCCTTCATTTTTTGGGAGATTTATTTTTATAGTTGACATTCTTCTCCCGATATTGCTAGTCTTCCTCCTGAATCTGCAGAATCTGTTCATGATGACAAGGATTTTGACATGCCTGACTATGCCATGCCTTCCCAAGCTTTTCTTGCAGAATCTTTAGGCCTAACTCAGCCTTTTTTGACATGATTTCTCATGTGTGTTCCATTTTATCCATTTCCCTGAGGTGAGGTGGTTATATTTTTTTTCAAAGGCCATCCATTTCCATACAGTGGGAGGATAGCATCGTGCTTCGACTTCTGTGAAATCCTATCTGCAGGATATTGTTAAATAAGGTAAAGGTTCTCCTCTTGCACTCCACCTCAAGTAGTTTTGCAGCCTGAATGTGATGTTGCTCAGTTAGGCACCAGTCTGACTGAGTTTGATGTGACCTGCCACAAGGGCAGTCTCTTCTTGCTGTCATTCAGATGTAAGGTTTCTGGATGTATGTTTAGTTGTGGATTTGCACGCATGTGCCCATTTCATAGCCACTCTACACCTTGGTGCACATCCTCTTTAGCTTTCCCCCACATTACTGTCTGTAGATGTTTCTCCTACAGTTTTTCTTTGACAGGATTGAGATTACGATATACTGTGGTTCGGATTCCAATCCAACCATTTTTCTCTCCCTTTTGGTTATGCTCCTCTCTTTTTCCACTTGTATATGCAACACCTCTTTCCACACTGGGAGCAGAGTATACCTGGTACAGAAGTGGTGCAGTCTCCCATGTAAGATCCTCTACTATGGGGATCACAATTCTGGGGTGTTCTTCAGACACTTTCGATGGATGCTTATTTCTATCCTTTGTACCAGTCCCTGTGCTCCTTGTTTCACCCTTCCTTCTCCTTTTCACCCGTGGACGTCAGTGGTCTGTTTATTTGCTATCAGTGTTTCACGTACTCTTTATCCTTCTAGATATCTTTCCCTTTCTCCTGATTGTTTTTCCTCCATAACACTTCAGTGGCTTGTGAGGATAACTCCTCTGTTTAGCTGCTTTTCCTTCCTTCTGTTTCACACCTTTATCCTCATCCTGATATACTTCTATGTCTTGTATGTGCTCTTCTTTGTTATAATGCTTGCATGGCTTCCTTCTGTGGTGTCTGTTCCCACCTCTTTCTTCCTTGGCAACTGTCCTCTGTTCTTGTTCTTTCTCCTTCCTCTTTCACCAATTGGGTCCAGCTCTTCGTTTGATTGGCTTTTTTCCTCTTTATTGTCTTCCTCCCATACTTTGTTCTGAGTGTCTTCTCACCCAATATTACACCTTATTTTTCATTTTTGTTGTTCTTTGGAGGTACTTTTTAAATCTGGCATGTGGACTACTCATGATACGTTCATTTCTCACTATTTACATCAGATCACAGTTTTCTTCCTCTTCAGGTTATTGTGTTCTGCCTTTAACCATTCTAGAATATCAGAATGCAGCAAGACCTTGAAAGGGTAAGTTTTTTCATATTTTTCCTTTTAAGGGGTCCTTTTCCCTTATATTAATGCTCACTGTTTGGATCCACTCTGAGGTGAGTGGTGCCTGACCAGGTATTCTTTAACTGTTCAAATCTGCACTGTCAGGCCATGTCGACATACATATTATGATTCCATGGCCACCCAATGCACACTGCAGAGATGGGATGTTCCTCAAGATCACTTGTAGGTTTATCCTCACTATAGAATTGCTTCATACGTTTGTCTGTCCCAGACCATACCCATCCATGGACTACATGGATAAAGCAGAAGAGGATAGCTGCTCATCCCTGCCATGCCTTATATTGAATAAATCAGTATGGTCTGCTTTTAAAAATAGGGTTTCATGGTCACCAATTGCATTGTCTTAGGTGTTGTCATACCTCCATACTCTTCATTGCATTTTACCCCTCTTTTCTCCTAGTGGGGTTTGAGAGTCCTTACCACTTTCCAGTTCCAAGCCATTGAGGTGGTGGACAATGGAGGTATCCTCATGAATGGGTTAATGAAATACAAACAAAAAACAGAAATTATTACAAAACTATTCAATTGAGAGTAGGGCAGTGGTGTTCTGCTGGTGTAGATGACATAATATCCTCCAATATGAAATATAAAAACAAATGGAAGCGAGACATAAAAAATACAGTTCACTGCTTCAATTGGGATCCTTCATTCTACCTACATGTGGATGTCAGTTCCCAGTGGCTGTGTTTTGGATTTGGAGTAGAACTAATCAACATAATTCCTCACACATGTATTACAGATGTCTATATATCTCCCTCATTTATACTCCATCAGTGTTGTGGGTCACAGTGGAGGTAATTGCATATTATTGTGGTTCTTTCCCTTCTGCTATCCCTCCATGTTTTTTATTCTGAGGATGTTAATATGCTTGGGTGGTTCTGGTCAATTTCACTTTTGAGGGAGATGGTTTACATTATATTGACATCTTTTCGATACCAGATGGCGGTTTCCCAGATCAATTTCTCACATTCACATGTGCCCCCTTCATGAGTCAGGGGGTACTAGATTCCCTACAGTCTCATGAACTTGAGGTAAAGATGGTATGATCCTCTTTCCTACCCCTGCCAGATACATGGTTTGGATCACTTTCCAGCCATAGTTCCTCTGTTTTCAACCTATATATGTGACATCTTTATACGATGGGCGAAGAGTATACCTGATTCAGAAGTGGTGCGGTTCCCCACATAGAACTTAGAATCTGACTGTCTCATCTTAGGGAGTGTCCTTCAGACACTTTCAAAAGATGCTTCTTACTTTTCCTCCTCCTATTCAATGTAGAATTCTAGCTATTTATGTGAGCAGAGATAATGTACCAAATTGGAAGTTATAATTTTCTCCTACACTTAAAATGTATTTTCATTTGGTACTTATCTCTTCTCACACTTCCTGTCCTTCCTCCCCACTGAAAACTAGTGCTTCCATCTTCTGCCAAAACTCGAAGTAATAGTTCAGTAGAATTGAATAGAGGGAGTCACATACATCATGAGAGTATGTCACACTCTTATTGGTGGAAGGTTAATGCATGATGATTTTCATGAGAGATACATTGGAATCAGCCAATTCCAGTGGAGGGGAGATAGAAGGCTTGTGGCATGTGTAAATTTATTTTTGCATATATAGGCAGCACTGAACGAGAGTAGTTATTTATAACTTTCGTTCCTCCATTCATATGTGTTTAGAAGTTCTGGAAGTGTGCTTCAGAAACTTTGTTAGTAGTTGCATGTTAATCATAAAATCCGTCATGTTAATAAAGAAAGTCTTTCATGTACATAATTTATTTATTTGTGCCTATAAAAGTAGGTATTAGAGAAGATATAGATCTGAGATATACATAATATCATACAAATATTATATTTATGTCACATTTTTCAAACTTTTCTCAGATTTCACATGGGTGGTGTATATGCTTGATTATTTCATAAACGTTTATAATTATGAATGTTTAAGTATAAAATATTATTTTGCATTTAAAAAAACTTAATTTTTGAACCTTAAAAAAAACCTTAATTATACTTTAATTCTGTACTCAAAGTTAAATTGCATCAAAAGTGAGGTTTTGTCTGCTAAAAGTGGAGTTCCATCATATATGTATGGAAAAATTTACACTTGTATATTTTTAAACATTTAGTGGTTGGTTAATTTATATTGCCAATTTGCTTATTTTAGTGGGTGTAATAAGATATTCTAATACTCCAGAAAAAGATATACTATTAGTGTTTTCAGTTCTTTTTCAACTATCAAATGAAAATATGCTAAAACTGTTTTTTTATATCTATTTGAGTCATTTATTTTGTAAACAAAAAATCATTTTATTTATTTTGCTTTGTGAACTTAAAAGATTTAAAGAAATATAAAGGTTGTTTAGAAATAAATGTGTCTTTGAACCACCTTTTTTCATGTAAGAAAAGCTTTTAAAAATGATATTTCTTTTTATACCATATCATTGCAAGAATAATTTATTATTTTTGTTTCAGATGAAAACTAAATATTTTGGAGCACTTGAGCAGTCATTTGACCAAAGTATTCGAAATCATGCTTATAGAATATTTAGTTTGTGCTTTCATCCTCAGCAAAAATATATACTAGCTAGTGGAGGATGGGATGAAAGTGTAAAAGTATGTTGAAATGAATATGAGATTTATCTACTAATACTACTATATATATATAATAATTTCTGTAAAATTGATATTTTAATCTATTTCCTAAAAGTACAGTATGTTTCAATACAACTTCTAATGGAAATCAAATTGTTCTTATAAACTGATATAAATTATGACTTATTTTCTGTAGGTAATAAGTTGGTGAATTCTCAGTATAATAACTTTCAGGATTCTTATGTAGTTGATATACTAAGTCTCTCATCAGATGTTTTATTCAGCGTTAATAAATTCTATGTGCTCATTTTTCAGTTTTGTTTTTTGATTTATGTTACTTGTGTATGTTTTCTTTCATTTCATGATTCTGTGTTCTAACCAGATTTATGAAGCTTTCTCCATTGGATTAAGTAGTATGAGAATAATAGGTATTCTGCACAAGCTAAATATAGAAGAGTTGAATGACTGCACTACATCATCAGAAATAAGGAAACAATGTCTCGATGACACATTCTTCTAGATGAATCACCCACTATCTGTGATTGTTTTACTTAGTTAAAATTTAGAAACTTTTACATCTAGTTGCACTCAACAATAGCAGATATACTCTTCTATCATATTGTTACGTATCTGCTTGTTTGTTAATTTCCGATAGAATTTTTTTCTGAGGAACTTCAGTGATACAAGTCCTTTCTTGATTAAACCAGTTTATTATTTTTCAATACAAACTTTTAGTACACAGTAATTCCACTGTACGTTTCTCGTCACATTAAACTTTACAACTTTTATAATACTCGCTATAAACCACAGCGATTCACAATCTCGATAACTTTGCCCAAAACTTACCATGTCTACTGTTTGCTTTATCATAGATTCATTTCAGGGGGCTTTTTCTGCCAGGCTTATATACTAAAGAAGGGGGCGTCTCGAATGCACTCGGGCCTTCCCGATCATTCATGATCATTCGAGAAATTTCACACACGCTACCAGCACCAAACGTGCCAGCAGTGTCACGTGACTTTTGCTGTTGTAACAGTATCTTAATTGAATGAAAAGTAAATTTTCAAGAAAATCACAATGTGATTAATTTTTAACATTTTTGTCTAAAAAAAGATAATATTTTTCTGTATTAATATGTAAAAACATATTGCCAAAACTGTTGAGGTTAAGGTCAAAGCTAAGCAAAAGAAATGTATTATAATTGTATAGTGCAAAGCCTATACCATGTTAACTCTCTTTACACACCAACCAACTTCTAATTGTATACTCCTTATATAGGTAAATGCAAAAGAAATCTAACATCTAGTTCTGTAGTTTGTATGAAAATATCTGTAAGAAGTGGTTCCACATCCTGGCACACTTTCTAGTAAAAGTCATCAGTAGCTCTACAATTCTAGAGGATAAGAACAGTTAAAAAATATATACTTTAAATGAGTAAAACTGAAATCTATATGTGGCTTTATATGCAATATGTGGTAATAATGACTATTATTTAATCAGTAAAACATATAAGTTAGTACACCATTCTGTACATTTTATATTTATCCATAATTATATTATTGAGTGTCTTTCTGGACATTAATTTCAATGCACTGTACACAATCAGCAAATACATGTAGATCAGTGACAATGGTTTTTCCTTACCTTATCTCATGAACAGTATACTTACATTGTCAATCATATTAATGACTATGTCTTTCTTTACTTTGTCATAGGCTGTATACAAGTTCGTATCCACATTTATATCAATAGCTAGGTCTCTTTTTTAATGGGCATTTTTGTACATGTTTGTATGTCTATGGTTCAAAAGCTACGTATTTCTATATTTTGCATTGTACTATGCACTTACCTGCTGTGTTAACCAGTATGTCTTTCTTTATTTTTCTTATGCTGAATGTCTTTTTTTTTTACTTTGCATTGCACTGTAAACTTATCCACAGACATGTCTTTGACTGTGTTTCTATGATTTCCCCTGTAATGAGTACTTTTCCACAAATATATATGTATCTAAGTATTTCTGTACTTTGAATTGTACTAACTGTATACACACCAATAGTTATGTCAACCATAATCTTAAAAGCTATTCTTCTCTAACTTAATCCAGTTCATACCAAAACAGTTGTTTATCAAGCAATTTGCTCACATAAATAGCATCTCAACCACTACTATGTCTGTTCTGTCCCAACTGATATGAAGAATCCTGGTATTAAGTGAAAGGGCTCATGGCAGTGGATAAAGCAGATGTGGTGTGATTGAAGCATAATTGTACACTTTATTTTCATTCAGAACTTCACTAGGAGAAAATCTTGACTTACTAATCTTATGACATTCTTTGAAGAGGTTACACCTCATGTAGATGATGGTACAGGTGTGTATGTGATGTATCTGAATTTTCAAAGTGTCCTTGACAAATTGCCATATAAAAGGCTTGTTTAAAAGTTATCACTGAAGGTGTGGGAAATAAATTGGATCATTGGCTAAAATACTGAGTAGATGGAAGAAAGCAGTAGGCTGTTACAAGTGGAGTTCAGTCAAACTAAATTAATGTTACAAGTGGAGTTCTAGGACTCCCTGTTAGGTCCTTTGCTATTCTTGATTTACATCAACTACAAAGATGAAAGAATGGTCAATGAAATATTTAAATTTGCTAATGATATTAAAGTTATGGATGTTGCTGGTTGTGAGGAAATTGCTGCAACTTTTTAAAAGTACTTTAATTGCTTGGTTAATTGCACAAATAAATGGCAGGTGGCTTTTAACTTTAATAAATGCAAGTTAATGCATGTGGGATATCACAATTTGAATTATGAGTGTAATTTTGATGGAAATAGCCTTAACAGAGTTATTGAAGAAAAGGATCTTGGTGTTTTGATTGATCAGTCTCTTAATTCATTCAAGCGATGTTCTGTTACAAGAGTAACAGCAAATAGGATTTTAGATTGTATCTACAGAAATGTTGGATTTAAGACTAAAGAGGTTATAATGTCTTTGCATGGGTCATTAGTTAGGCCACATTTGGAGTGTTGTCTTTAGCCTTGGACTCTTTACCTTAGAAAGGACATTGAATATTTGGAAAAGGTTCAAAGGATGGCTACTAGTATAATACCTGGGATAGAAAGGTTGTTATATGAGGACAGTTTAGAATTTCTGAAATTGTTTTCTCTTGAAAAAAGAAGAGTTAGAGGGGATATGATTGAGGTGTTTAGGATTGTTAAGAGAATTGATAGTGTTGATGCATCTTTTTTTTTTTTCATACATAATGGTGTGAATGGTAAGACTAGGGGACACAAATATAAATTTTGGCAGGGTAGGAGACATCTTCAGCTAAGACAGCTGAAATTTTTGTAACAGTGTGGTCAGCCTTTGAAAAGGGTTGCCTTCAGATGTGGTAGATGCAGTTAATTTAAAGGAGTTTAAATGAAGGTCTGTTAAATATTTAAAGGATAAAGGCTGGCTATAAGTGTTTTATTTATATTTTAAAGGTTAACATATGGATGGGGTGGCCTAGATGGACCAACAGGTCCCTTGTTGCCCTTAAATTATATATATGCATGGATGGATATTTCCATTTTATTGTGAGGGAAGCATTTATCTTCTGTCTACATTTTTATATTAAAATCATGTATTGAAAACTCTGAAATGTTGATAAAGTATTTTAAGATTCAGACATTTCACAGGTTTACTTTTTTTTAAACTTTGTATTGAAAGAAACAAGTATATCTACTGTTACTTCTACAAGTAGATTGAAAGAAAACTTAAAGGACCGAGCACATGCTTACATAAAACTATTAAACAATTAAGATATGTTTAATTGCCCCCTACTCTCCAACACCTGTAGCTTACTTATGTAATGATTGAGGATTCCAAAAGGAAGCAAGATTCACAAGGCAGCATCTCACAACATTTCCTATAGTGCCTCAAATGAAGCATACTTTGTTCAATCTTGCATTACCCTGTTTAAAGGACTGGACATGTTGTGTAATACAAAATTAAAACAATATCTATTGATAAAAACAAAAAACACTATGTGTTTTTGCTTACTTAGGAATTCAAAACTGCTTCTTTTAGTTATTCTTTAATGGAGATGATCCATCAGACTACCTAATGCAGAGTTTCCTGGGTTTGAAGAAACCTCATATTTATTGAGTGCGATATGCACTACCATGTGAATGGTAATTCTCATCACATGTGGGTGTGGCCATAACCTCTAGATTTTACCTTTACAATCATTGAAAGACATTATTGTCAACTTCCTGATATGAGGTCGCTGTTAGTAATGTTCTCCAAGGGTGGTAACAGGTATTACCAACTTTGAAAATGACAAAGGAGCAAAGCTAATTTTAAATAAGATCAACTTAATGGCTTTTCTTGACCACTTTTTATGTGAAAACCTGTATATATTCAGAATAAATTATAGCACCACAGAAAGAAAGAACCCTATGGTATATTCCTACACTACAATGTAATGAGTTATTATCTAGTTCTTGGTAGCTGTCTTTTTTACTACATAAAAAAAATATACAAAAAGCAAAATATAGCAATCCATTAATATTTGCTACTGAAAATATCACTAACTTAGTGGGTACCCAAATTATGATTCAATATTTTCTAATCATCCATGATCTCAACTTGTTGTAAAATCAAGCTAGTCTCAGGTGTTCTCGGGTTGGTGGAGAAGTCCAGTTCTTCACTGAACAAAAAGTCTCTTTCCTCATAGTTGGCTTCCATTTTGCAGGTTTTGCGAATTTCAGATACTGGATTGGTAATACCTCAGACAGTTTGAAGAACATTATAGTTAGGTTGTTCCAAAATCTGACCTTAAGTACCAAAGGTATGGATTGAAAATGTTAGTTCAGTGAAATCTAATTAAAACTCAGCTGTAAAAACTAACTTTAGAAGCGTAACTATTGAAACATCTTAGTCAAGTGACACTTCTATAACCTTGACCAATACTCATTGCCCTCCAGTAGCACAGCAGTATGTCTGTGGAATTACAAAACTAGAAACTGGATTTTAATACCGGTGATGTGCAGAGCACAGATAACCCATTGTGTAGCTTTGTGTTCAATTCAAACAAACTGTTACGTCTCTGGTCATTTGTTAATTACTCATAAAAATTCTTTCCGAAGAACTTCAGCGATACAAGTCCTTTCTTAAATAAAACTAGTTTATTCTTTCTCAATACAACTTTGCAATACACTTAATTTCCACACTCAGTTTAACTTAAACACATGCTATAATTTCCAACGAATGATTCACGCACTTTACTTACTACCGCGCTTGACTCAATTATCCGTCTATATCTTCAATGTTTCTATCTAGCATATCTAGCATTCACAAACCTTCGAGATGCTCATTACGGGTTACCAGCCTCATGTGACTTCAGCTGTCGTAACAAAACAAACCAATACTCTTCTAACCATGCTGCCATCTATTGCTATTTCTTTGAATGAACAGCATGCTTTCTTTAAACTAGGTCCTATACTTGTATGCTGACCCGAATTCAGTAAAGTGAACCTTCAGTTTTGACCATTAGAATCACCAAATGCCTCCATTATCTCCTGTTGATTATTATTAGCAATTTCAAAGGTTTACCACAGGGGAGCCAATTTCCACGTCTTCTAGTACATTTACATCCTGCATGGTTGAAAATATTCTATCACAACCAAATAAAGCACCTGGGTACATAAGTTTATACTTGTTATGATAATTTAGCTAATGTCAGCAACTTTCCCATACTTCAAATAATTTCATCTACTCAGATATTTTGACTCAAAGCAACTAAAACATCTTTCACTACTTTTTTCAGAAACCCACAGATAAAACTATGTTTTTCTTTGATATATTGTTGCATTACTCAAAAAAACAACAGATGAAACTGTATTTTCTCTCAAAAGTAGGGTAAGTCTCACCATTGTTCTTATCTTTCAAGAACATTCATTACCTGCTGAATATTTCAATGGTTCTCTTTTAAGTATTAAAGAAAATCATAAAACGTTTACTGATTTTCCAATAATACTTCACAAATCATAAATTACAGTTAACTTCATATTGTTTCCATTCACATATGGCTTAATTATTTATTATGCAATTGATTCATTTATGTCATACAACATTCATGGTGTAAGATTCATATATTCATGTTGGACTATGCCCATGTTTTTGTCAAGACACGTATATTACCATATTTGTTTATCTCTATTACACATTGTCACATACATTAATAGCTTTTTAACAGATCACCTCCAGTTCATGTTCAACTCTCATCATTACTGTCTTGGGTTGGGAGCCTTGGTTGAGTTAGCCATTGCCACTGTGAGCATATTTGGTGACAGGATCTCCCTCCCTCTCTCTCTCTCTCTCTCTTTTTTTTTGTTAATTTTTTAATTTAGTTTTAGATTTCCATTTTAAAGCTGACACGTGACTTTACAATACAACATACATTTTGAAAGTTTTATACATACAAAACTTTACAACATATTTCAAAGAATAAGTTTTAGAAAAGAGCACAGTATTTATACGAGACTTTTTAGATTATTTTGTTAAATTTACAATATTATATAATACTCATGTATTTTGCTAATAGTGTTCCCTAGTGGGTCAGCAGTAACTTTATAGGCCGACAATATTAAAATCTGGGATTTACTTCCCCACAGTGGACAGAGTGGATATAACTTATTGTGTAACCTAACATTAATAAAACAACAACTGTTAGTAATGAGTAAATACAAAATATTCCTAATGTTAAATTTCAATCAGAATGTACAAGTATTGTATGTGATTAATACCTAATATTTAATTAATAAATTTCATTCATCATTTAGGTATATTATGAATTAACTTTTTCATTCTATTACTTATGTTTGGTATGAATTCATGATGTTAATTAAATTGTTCCTTAATTATCATACAAAAATTATTTTGTTAGCTGCTATAATTTTAGACTTATGAATCAAGTGATTTGTTTGTTTATCAGGTTTGGGACTTAAGAACTGAAAAAGGCCTAGTAAGAAACATTTATGGTCCGCATATTTGTGGTGATGCATTAGACATAGAAGGTGTAAGTTTCATTGTTTATTGATCTTATTTAAAAGCTGATAACAATTTGGAAGTCAGTTGTTATCGATGAATATTTGAATGCCATTTATTGTAAATATTTATTTGATCAAAAGATCATTAGTTGTTTGGTTATAGTTAAAACTTGATGAAGGCATCAGAAGCAAGATGAAATACCAGGTATCCATTTTCAAGGAGAGTTGTCTTAATCTTAGTTTGTTTGATATTATAAGTTTTGTTCATTCTCACAATTAGACAGTTTATGATACCCAACTTTACAATATTGGAATGGTTTGATTTATATTCAAGGTGTTTACCCATATCTAAGTTTCCTTTAAATCCATGTGGTATACAGGCTATGTGTATTGGCAGCCATCATGTCAGGGAATGGGATTTCATTATTTTTTCTATTTATATTGTAAATTGTGTTGTAGGATGTTGTCTGTTAAAGTGGTACATGAATTCTTGAATTTCATCTGTATTATGTGGCCATATTTCAAATATCCCATCAATATACCTGAGCCAAACCTTGAGGCATAAAGTGGCTGTTTTCAGTCATTATCTTTGAAATTTGATGATGATAAACCCACTTTTTAGAAAATATAGTTTGGAGACTGCTTTAATGGGTAATAAAAGAAACTATTAGAAATGTGCAGTGTTTCAACAAGCTTATGTCATCATCAGATACAAGTAGTTTACATAGACACAGGAATATATATACAGTATAGTAGAGCAGAGAGATATCTTGGTACCTCGAATTGTTGGTTTAGAGTAGGGCTGTTTTGTTCAATTAAGATAGCTACCTTTGTTTTGTGTTTGTTGATGTTTGGTTCTTTGTTTAAAATTATAGTGTTTTGTATAGATATAAGTGTCCAATTAATTTTTTGAGGTGTAATAATGGTAAACTTGGGAGGATTTTTTATTATGTTTGGTAAATCTAGTTTCCAATTTTTTTCTGGTTTCTCCAAAGTAGAATTCTGTACAGTTATTGCATAATATCTATACTATTATTCTGCTTGTTTGTATTTATGACCGTTACACTTTCTGACCAAGAACCTGCTGCATAAGCATGCGTAGTTAGAATGTTTCCCCAAGAAAACCGTGCATGTGCATTATTCACTCAACAACAAACAGTCTGCCTGCAGCAGAGAGCTGCAAAGCTCAGTGACCAAGTCGCTACAATTGCTGTATGAAACAAGAAGTAACAACAAAAGTGGAATGTAAATATATTTTACTAACCATTTTGTCCAACAGAATATTAAAAACTTAACAAGGTTTTTAAAAAAGGTTTCACGTCAGGTCGTAGACTAACATTATAAGTTCTTTTATCGATAGTATTAAATACAGTAATGTTTAGTCCTAACTAAACTAAAATAAAAAATAAAAAAACTTACACAGGTTACAATGTTAATTTATCTCTTTATCGAACTTAGTTTTATAAAGTACGGCCTATAAACAAGTGGATTTACATATTTCATTGTCTACTGTTACGATAAAGATACTAATTTGGCTGGAAATATTTTGTGGATCTCTGCTAGTATTTTATAAATGACATTGGTATTATATGATTTTATGTAATTTTTATTTAGTAATGATTTTAGTTTAGAGCTGGGTTTTGAGTGAACTTGAACTTGACAGAAATTTTATGTTTATTGACAAATTTTCTCCTAGTATGAATTATTTTTGAACTAATTTCATGGATTGATGGTAAATTGCAGTGTATTTTTGTATGGTGTATAAATATCAATTTTATTTATGCATTGAGTTATGAGGGTTTTTTTCTAGTGGCTATATGAAAATTTTTTGACAATAGTTGGTGGAAATTCATTGGTGTGAATGAAGGAATGTTTTTTAGAACAAACTTCAAGCTTTATTAACTTTGTAATGTTCCAATGAGATGTTACTGAGTGCATAGGGGTGAGACCAAGGCTAGGCCTTGTTGTTGTTAGTATTCATCTTCAAATTGAAAGTAGTTTGTATCTAGCTTTGTTATTATAGGAAATGTACGTTGGGTGCTTTACTTAAGAGTTATATCATTTTCATGTTGTTGGTGGAATATTTGTTGTGTGTCAGGGGTTGGTTTTTTAGTGAAGAGATTTAATACAATGAAGTTGATCATTATTTCTTTTGATGTTGTCATGGTTGCTTTTATAATCTCTACAAAGTGGGTTAAGTTCTTAACATGTGATGATATTTTATCTGCTATTGGTGATATTATGTTTACAAGCTAAGAAATGGCATGGTGAATTTCTGCAGTTAACTATGAGATGGAGCAAGAGTAGCCTTGGTTGTGAATAGATAGATCATAAATGTTTGGGGTGTTGCTATTTATTTTTTATGTTCCAAGTTCTTTATTATGTGTCTTGAGGAGTTGGTTAATTTTCTTCTCTTTGTTAGCAGTCAGTTTAAGCTTGATCTTTGTGTAATAGCCATCTTCAATTAGTTTGGAGTTTAATGGAGTTTTCCTCTTTGCCAGTGATTATAGTGGCACTATCTTTGTCTTCTAGTAGAATTGTTATAGTGTCTTCCTTCAAGTTCCTGAGGACAATTTGTTTTTCATAGGGATTTATTAAAGTGAGGTTTTATATTTCATATCTTTCCGATATACAGACTTTATTATGATTCTGAATTCTTTTTCTTCTGCTAAGCTATAAATTTTCTTTATGATTGTAGCTGACCTAAGGTGAGTATTTACTATGTGATAGGGTAAAATTTAGTCCTTTACGTATTACACTTTCTTCAGGTTCTGTTGAACAATTTATATCAAATATTTGTATTTTTTTATTAAATAAGTGTGAAACAGCTTAAAGCTTCTACAGGAATGTTTATTTCTGTTGTTAGTAAGGCCCGACTTCTTGCATTGTTTGCTTGTGCTTTTGTTATTCACTCATACATAAAATTCCATCTTTTTCAAGGATTTAAATTAAATATCATCATTTGTTATTTTAAACACCTACATAAACATGGATATATATGTATATATGTTACATATACTTTTGTAGATATCTCTAAAACCCTTTGGTAGTAACAGAAAAAGTGAAATTTCTGCTCAAACATAAAATGTCCTGCTACAATACACAGAAAGATTAGCAACAGCAACTACAGTTTAGACATCACTGATAAGTTTACAGATAAACTAAGATAACAAAAATAAAATAGTTAAATAGTTAAAATTTTCTAATAGTTCATGAATATTCTAAAACTATAATGCTGATTTCAAATGAAAATATTTAGTGAAAAAGTATATAGGTGAAAAACACTTAAATTTCTTCTTCTTTTTCCTTAGAATCTAAAATTAGTTACTTTACTTGATCAAAATGGCTAGAAGGATTTAACTAGGTCTGGTTTTCTTGTAACTACTGTCATGGAAAAAAAAGGTATCGTAAAGTATATTAATTTCCCATAAAATGGTTTTCCGAGATGATACCTCACCTCCTCACACAGAATAGCTTTATCCCTTGTGCATTGCTTATGAGATTTGCATGTCACTAGCCTTAAGTTAATTCCCGCTTAAAGGCACATGTTTAATGTGAAGTGTGTTAGTACATGATGATATCATCATGTGATGACAGCCCTCCACAGATAGGAGGGCACCAAAACTTCCTTGCACTGTAGATCCCCCCCCTAAGCAATTACACTTGAAATAACTTCATTCTTTTCCTTGGAATTGTCTAGAATGAACTTGTTTCAAAATTGTTAATCCAATACTTGAGAATTGCTATAGTTTCCTACTGATTTAAATTTCATTTCAGTATCCCTGGTTTAGTATTCATGATTCACATAATCTAACGTTTTTTTTTTTTTACTTTAAATTAGAAAAAAAAATACTTATGTTGTTTCCTGCCATTATGAATTCTCAAGTGACAGTAACTTTTGCATTGTCCATGATATTTACAATATTCCTAACATAGGACCTGTGGCTACTGGAGACTTGTTGTCTGTGGATGACGTGACAGCCATTGTTCAACGTGTTGTTGGTTGATTCATGCATACTGGGCCTCCTCCTCACATCCATTTGACTGACATTCTTTCTCCCCATTTTAACACAATCAGATTGATGATGATTTGACCAGCTATTTCCCCACCACAGTTTGCTCTAGACACAGCTTTATCTGTGGAGGGAAATCCTACCTTTCTTATCTCTTGCTTGACATGATTTTGCAGGTATTTTCTTTTCTTTCTCTTTACCCTTGGTCTTTTGATTCCTTCTGTCCTTTTTTTGGCATAAAGTCAATACTTAAGACTACTTTGTCTTCCCTTCTTCACCTGACACTAGGGCCCATGCAGACTTGTTTCATGAACTCCTGCACATTCGTACTAATGTACCTTGTCCCCCTTGTCTACTTGACTCTTGTCCTGGCTTACAGCCATTCTTCATTTCTATTCCTCAATTCCCAGTTTTTGTAATCTCTTTTACCTGATTGGAGTGAACCCCTTAACTTCTACTTTCCTTTCTATTGATCAGTTTTCAGATATTCATCTCTTTCTTACCACCCTCCTGCATTACATCTCATCATTCTACCTTTTGTCTGAGGCACTTCATCATGCTCCAGAAAAGTTTTCTGCAGAGGTTTGTTAATTTTTTTTCACCACATTGGCCTGTGCTTCTTCTTCTGCTCTACCATTCCTTACTTGGTTCCTCTGCTGTTGGAACAGAATGCTGTTCTAGTTAATGTTTGTTTCCCAATGCTTATCTCCATGATCCTCATCAGGCTTCATTTCATTGTCCATAGGTCATCAGGGGTGTTTTTGACTCACTTAAGAGCAGGGCTGAGGCGGTCCAACATCAGTCTTCATTATCTACAATGGTTTCTTGTCTTCTTCATCCTTGCCACTGTTCCTGTTCCTAAGCCTGCTGAATCCACTTCTCCCCTTCCTTTTCCAATTTTCTGGCCTTCATCTACTTCCTGTCCTCCAATCTCCAGAAGTCAGGGTCATCACTTGTCTCATCAGTAACTAACTTGTTGGGTCTATCCTTGTGGGGGCCTGTCTGTCTTTCTTCAC